TTTTTTTTTTCAATTTCTCAGCATTCCTTCTTCTCTGTCTTTCGTTTGAAAATCAAATGATTTAAAAAAAATAGAACATTGCCTTTCCCTTCTCACGGTAATCTCTCCCCACCGCCTAATTTCCCTTCTCAGTGTAATCTCTCACCTAGCCCTAACTGGTTCCCCTCTTAAAATCAACCAAAAACCATCCAAAATTTTGCTTCTCCCTAATCCACCGCCCTCTCCAATGCACTCTTTGCTGGTTTCTCTCCTCCACTTTTCCAAAATTCATGCAATCCTCACCCAGCCGACCAGCCCCATTGCTCACCTCTTAAAATTAAATCCCCCAAATCCCATTTTCAGATCTGCTACTCTATAATCCCTTCAACCAAAATCTAGAAAATACCCTAAACCCATACATCGATCACCATTGAATTCTCTGATTTCAAAATCATAGAGTAAAAACAAAAGGGATGAACAAAAGGAGCCTTCTTTGGGGGTGGAAGTTGTTGCCGGAGACAGCAATGTTGGTGAAAGAAAAAAAAATTCATAAGAAGAGGTCGACTATAGGGAAGATTTGTCATAAAGCTGACTTAAAATCATTTTCTCTATAAATGCATGACTTATTTTATTGTTAAATTGTTAAATTGTTGGCTGAAATCTTGAAAAAATGATGGAATATGTCTAGCATGCATACCTCTTGTTGCCTAATCCTCTCACGAACTCTGTTTTTTTGGTTCCCCATCCGGTATCCGGGGTTTCACCCCGACTACTCCGGACTCGACCAGCTGTGGCGCACCAGAATGGTGGGTGGGTCTCCCAACGAAGACTGCTGCGTACACAAGGTGTCTCGAACTCGAGATCTTGTTTAAGCTGGAACAAGCCGCTTGCCACTTGATCCAACTCCTCGTTGGTCTCACGAACTCTGTTTCCCACTTCTTATAGTTAGAATTAGGGTTCAACTCTTTGTTATATATTGGTTCAGAGGATAAGTTTGGAAGATAATCGAATAGCATTTAGATAGAATTGAAATAGATAAGTTAACATTTCTATTGGTCTAGAAGAGAAAAAAACGCTATTTAACTCTTTTTTAGAGTGTCTGTGATAAACTTTAATTATTTAAATTTAAAAATCGAGAAAAATGAACTTAAAAAAAAATCAGATCTTAAATTAAAACCTAATAATTTAAAATAAAAACACATTATCCTTAAGTGTTCTCGTTACCAAATTTACCTACAATGGAATTTGTTTATTTGTGGCAAATTTTTTGTTAGTCACATATATTCACTTAATTTATAGTGACTAATATTGTTGTTAGTAATTTATTTATTTTTGTAAGTTCAATTGTGAATTAATTGTGACAAAAAATTTTGTTACATCTTGTAATTTTCTTTAGTAACAACTTGTATATAGTCACAAAATATATTTGTTATAAACCATAATTTTAGTCACAAGAAAAATGTAGTATTTGTGACATAAATTTATTATTTGTAACTAGTATTTTACAAGTAACTAATAGTTATTTTATTGTAACAATTTTAGCAGTCACAAATTTAAATAGTTTATTGTGACAAATTTTTTGTAACCGAATATAATTTATGTGTCAAAATTGTATATTATAATTTTAAAAATTAATATTAGTGATTATTACTTTAAATTAGTCACTAATATAACAAATATTAGTGACCAATTGCAAATTAGTCACCATTTTCAGTCACAGAAAACCCAT